CGTTCTAATTATTAAATATAAAAATAAACTAAATTATATATATATAATTTTGAATTTTATTGAATTTTCAGCCCTCTCCCCTAAAATTAAACTTAATTTCTTATAAAATTCTATACTTATACAAAGTGTGTAACGCGTTAATATTGTAATTAATTTTTGATATAAATTAATGTATTCTTCTTGTTCGATATGTCAGAATCCGAGCATCGTGACAGCATCTATGATGGACAGTTATTTACTATATCTTTCCATAGATCTCTCTTCATGGCATTGTGCGTGCAATAGCATATTGCAGAATTAATTAGCCTCCCTATTTGGTTAATATATCTGGAGGGGAATCGGGCCCTTTAGTTTCCTTCTTTTGATCTTACCCTGGACCATAAGCCTTTCAAGGGCGTCGTTTCCTCGTAGTATGATGTGGCCGAAATATTTTAATATAGTTTTATTGATGTTTACGTTTGGCCTTTCCTTGATACTGAGCTCTGTTAGAATTGATGCATTCATGCGTGCTGTCATACGTGGAAGACGTGGATATGACATTATTATATATTAAATAAAGAATTATAAAAAAAATGTAAATAACAGAAAATAAAAAAATGACAGAAATTAACAAAATAAAACTGTATATAATTTTATTGATGAAATGATCTTTACATACATATAATAATTACTAAATTATATTATAACACACTATATAAATGCCCTTTTATGTAACCATCACCAAATGTATAATATATGCTGTTATTGATATAAGTATATAAAATATATATATATATAATGTCACGAAACAGTTCTTAACCCCAAGGGTGATGAGCAGGTTTCTGTAAGCTCGCATGCTGGACTGCAGCTGCTATTGCGTTTTCTTTCGCAGCTATTATATCTTTTTCCTGTTTAGATTAAACAATGCACAAAAACATATTAAGAATAAATTGACGTCAGTAGCTTATAACAATTGATAACAAAAATGATAACAATTTTTAAGTAGCAACTTCATGTGATAATTAATATTATTAACAATATTCACGAAAATAACTGTTTTATTTTCTAGAGAAATATAATAAAAAGTTTTGAGATAATACTACCTTAGCTTCCTGCTCGCTCTGATTAATTTGCTTATCAACATCCTGCTTTCGCAATTCTGCGGCGGTGTTAGCTGCGTTTCTTTGGATTGCTGCAGCTGCAGCGGCTTCTCTTGCCGCTGCTACTCTTTGTGCTGCTGCCACAGTATCCTTTAGGGTTGCTAATCTCTGTTGCAATGCCACGAGCTGTCGAGCACTAGCTTTAGCTTCAGTCTCAGAATGTTGAGAAATTTCATGCGATCTGCATAAAATGGAAATGTTATAAATGCGCAACGCAAAAGAGATAGCCAATAAATATCATGTGGCGGTCTGCAGTAGAACATTAGATGTAATGACGAAAAACTAGAGTGACGTTAATTATTTGTATACCTCGCGGCAGCTTCTCTTGCCGCTGCTTCTTTTGCCAATGCAATTTTCTGCTGAATCAGCGCGGCTTGCTTCGCTTCCGCAACTTTATGCTGAGCTACGGCAACGTTGTTGTTTGCCTCCTTTGCTTGTTGAATCGCTTTTAAAACTTCGGGCGGATACGCGATGCTGGGCGTACCGGGCACCGGATCCTTCAACGCCTGTTACGTAAATTAATAGCGTATTTCACAAATTTTACATATGGTGTAAACCACAGACTTTTATATGACTTCTGTATGTATAAACCACAGACTTCTATAGAAGTCTGTGTGCATAGTACGCGCGGTGTAACACGAAGTGCGTAAAATAAATGTGCGTACCTGAAGTGCCACGTCGTGCGTAGCTTGAACTTCGACCTGTGCGAGCGCTACGTCCGGAGAGATCGGTGGATTCCAGGCCGAACTCGCAAAATTCGGGGCCCATGAAGGAGCGAAGGCTGGCACGAACCCAAAGAAATCAGGCGATCCAAAAAATGCCACTCCGCGCTTATTCTTCTTTGATTCCGATTTCAGCTCCACCACGGTCGCAATAGCGGACAGAAGCACGATCTGCAAATCAATGCTTAATTATTCTTATCGATGAAAATATAAGTTAGAAAAGGATTGTTCACTGTTTTTGTCTTAGATTCTGTGAAACTTTAGAATTCTTTTCAATATTTACACAATATAATAGAATTAAAGAATAAGCAGTTTCGCTAAAATATCAAAAAATGTAGCTAAATCTGAATATAATTTTTTGTTGGACTATCAAAATAATTATGTAGGACATTAAAACTAGTTGCTAGATGCCAAAACTTTGTGCAGTATTGCTTTCTACGTAATGGTTTTGATAATCAAATAAATTTATTTTCAGATCTCCATCTAACTAATTTTTATTTTAATAAAATTATTCTTTCCATGTGTTAATTTTGAAAATATAAATTTTTTATTTGTTACGATATAAGATATAAAAAATCTTATTCATAGAATTTGTAGATCTGATAAAATATACATAAAAATGTGCTTGAGTTTTAGTTACCGTTACGATGATCTTCATCTTGAGAAATATTGCTGATGATACTGAATTCTCCACTGGTGGGCCTCCGGTATATATACAACTCTGATACGAGGAAGAATGCTATAGCGCCTCCGGGATAATCATAGAATTAATTAAAATGGTCCGTACCATTAAAGGTGTCCGTAAAAGTCCATGTATCACAAACAGAATTATAGGCCTTTATTGTCTAATGACGATTTTCTGGAAGGCGTATGCTATACAATCACTGCACACGAATCCACTTATGTCTTAGAAATCGATAGACAAAGATCATATCTCGTCTTCGAACTTAGGAAGTAGTTAACTAGTGAGTACGTACCAAGTACTTCCGCTTTAACGTAGACAATTAAATTTAATAAATATTGAGAGGACATTCGATCTCTTGATGAGGGGATATTGTTTATACGTGTGTATAGTTTTATAATAATATATATATATATATATATATATATATATA